AAAATATAACTTTGGTATGGGTCTTAGTTGTGACACACCCTGTACATTTCAAAATAATTTTAAATTACGCACATTGCCTTCCCACATATACCCATAAAATATTTTGTTTCTACATCTTTCCGTTTTCGTATAATCAACCAAGGCAAATGTGGTGCGTCACCCTGTATTAACAAATAATTTCTTGGCTTAAATTAAAATCAAAAATAACAACATTTTCCTTTGACGTCTATTAAATAATTCTTTCTAGATTTAAAACGAAATGTTTTTATAAAGGAAAAATTTATGCTATTCAGAACAGCAAATAGGTTGATGTTTTCACACGTGCTTCCAGTCTCAATCACGTTTTATTTTGCACATGTATTATTAATTACCTAATATTACACAATATATCACCTTGAATGGTAAATTACAACGAAAAAAAAAGCAAACAATTAGTTTATTTAAAGCGGAACATATCCGATGTATCATGGTAAAAATACATAATTATTTGAGAAAGAATGGATAGGCGGCTGTCATTTATAATTATAATAATTAGAGATGCTAATACCCTACATAACGTACCAACGTATTATCAATTTGATTCAGTACTTGTAGGTACCTCATTTTTTTAAATTTTATTAGGAAATTATTTTTACTGAATAAAAACCATTAACCGGAGATTCAGTGGCGTTCATTAAATGTGGAAGACAGGGTTAATTTTTAAAAATAAGAAGTAAAGATTTGTAAAAGAATTTAGCAAGTTTATTGTTTTAAAATAGTCAATACTAAATAAATCACTAACAGTTTCAGGTAGTTTCTAAATTTTAACATTAATGTAAATAATATTAAAGGCCTCACAGGTCGCAGTGTTTCCGGCAGAGGACGGCCCCTTGTTATGGAAAAAAAAAATAATATTAAATATTATTTACATTAATGATAAAATTTAGAAATAAAAAAATATATACTACATAAAATAAAAAATAAATAAAATAAAATATAATAAAATAAAAGAATATCAATTATAAATTTTATAAGTAAAACAAGAATAACGAACAGCTGTCTATACAGGGTGTGCCAGAAATAAGGGCAAGTATTTTAAGGGGTGGTAGATCTCGATAAAAGAAACATATTTTCTCTTTACGGTTTTTCAAATAAGTCCAAAATAACGGAGTTATTTTACTTTGAAAATTTCTAAAAAAATGATTTTTTGCTAACATTTTGAGAAGCACTGGATCTTTTCTGGATTTTCTTTCTTGTAAATTTAATCTACTACCTATGTTGCCATATTATCAAGAAGTATTTTTTTTTTAAATAAAAACTAAAAAAAAATCCAAAAAAGTTTTCAAAAAATTCCAAATTTTCAAAAAAAAACCTCATAGACGTGTTTCTGGGGTTGAACTATACTACCAGTTAAAATACTTGCACTTATTTCTGGGACACCCTGTATAATGACTGTGTCATATACTACTTAACTGGCGTCTAAATCGATTTCTACTAACGATAGGTATATCGGATTTGCGAGTCTCAATATTCGTCACCTCTTGCCTTCGGAGTTCTCTGGTGGTTACCTGTCCAAACGCTCCACTCGTTTCAGGTCGCTTAACTTCGGTATTCAAAGCAAACGAATTTTACGTTGTTTGTACTATTTTAGTAAAGTGAAGATTCAAAAGCGAGCGATTATAAAGGAATTTCTAGATATCAAAATTAAATAATTACTTTAAAATGTGAGCAACTGTATTATTGTTAATTGTATGTTTTTGTTTATTTAAACATGTAACAGAGACGAGTAATACTACTAAAAAAGCTTTATTAGATATTCAAAGAAAAACTTTCAAATTGTGTTAAAGTTTATCCAAATTTGTCATTATATTCTTAGGTAAAGTCCTAAAACAATTCTAAATTAAAAACTTTAATTAATCATACAAAGAATACACTATAGTTCATACCAATTGAACTTTTAGTCACGTGATTAAGCTTGACCGGCACAGCCCACTTTTACTTATTTCTTTTAATCAAAATATTTTAGGAAACAAAAATAAATTAATTACAAATATTATATATAGTTATTATTTACATCAACAAAACTCACCTTCGTAACAGCACTTAAGGGACATAAAGAGCCATTACCACCGCTTTCCCGGTCAAAATATTCTAATAATGTTGCGAGTTTTTTACGGCTATTAATCTATCGTGTACACTTCGCAGTAAAAGAGGTTCTAAAAAGAACAATGTTCGACTGCAAGGTCTGCTAGTAAACATCTTCAAGCTTGAAGTATCACAGCACTATTTATTTAAACCAAAAACTCGTAATACAAAACTAAAGTGTCAAAACGAATGACCATGTCAGGAAATAAATAAATTAATGCGGCAACTTGACATTTACAGCAGAGTTACCACCTGAATCCCCAGCGCGAAATTTAAATTCCAGTTAGTCAGCACGGCGCCAAATACGTTCATGGTTGGCAACAATGAATTTAAAAATCGCGCCCTCGATTACGTAACTAAAAGTTTAATTGATATGAAATATACTTCCGTAAAGGACGGTCCACACTTGCTATATAACACTGCTATATAGCAAAGTTATATAACATGTTACATATTTTTTAGTTATATTTAGCAAATTTCGATGCTATATAACTTGCTAGATGTTATCCATTTGTAGTCGGTAAAGATCAAAAGATGTTGTGCAACATTGCTATTGTAACATGTGAAACAATGCGTCCACACTTGCTAAATTTCTAGTTTAGCCGCTCATATTTTCAGGGACGTGCGCGACAGAATCTTAGTGTGGTGAGCTGATATTGGTTTGTTTAGGTTAACTGTTATTGGGTTTGTTTATTTACTGGTCAATAACACCGTATGATCGAAAAAACTGCGTCCCGGCCTCCCGTCCAGTTGGCTTGGACATGACGATCGATGACATTCCCCATATAATTTTCCATATAAAATGACAGCGATTTTCATTTCATAGTATGTATTTGGAAACAGAAAAAATTGAGAAATAATGCGTAATCTAATAGGCCAGTTCCAGCGGGAACCAAAGAAATGCAAATCCAGGAACTGCATGGTTTAGATGAAGTGGATAATTCAAATGGTTTGCTTTTGCTTTACAGTACGTCTGTCCGTTCTGTAGCTACGGGGTATCCGTGAGAGGGGAAACGATATTCTCTCGATGTTTTTCGTAAAAAATAGACGACGCGTCCCATCAATAAAAATTCCACAAATTTGCAAGTAGCTAATAAAATGAGTGGGCGGAGCGATTTGCGGTGACGCACTCGTCAAATCGACGTATAGAATATATTGCTGTTTATTTAAATGTTTTTTGTCTGCATTCCTTTCATAGACGCAGATCCAGCAGACGAGACGTACTGTAAATTATTAATGTTTTTAAAAGACAGAAACACACCACGAGAAACAGCCGAGGCAAGTTTTGAAAAGATAAGCTAATTGAGTTCAACTGTATCTAGATCTTGCTGGTAGGCTATGGCGAACTCAAAACCGCTTTTTTTCTCGACTTTCTTTCCCTTAGTTCAAAAATAATTACGCACGCCGCTGCTGCGAGCTGAACCTCTTTCTCGCCAAAACGATTCATGACTACGAAAACTATAATGTGGACGGCCCCCGGTTTTTTAACATGTTACATGTAGCTTGTTAAATAGCAATGTTATATAACATGTTACTAAATGTGGACCCTCCTTAATATTTGTCAAACGCCATAGTTTAGTTTTTGAAAAATTCTGGATTTTTTTTGAAATAGAATAGAACTTTTATTTTTAAATTCCAAATCATACTGATTGCATAGAAAATCTCCCAATTTTGTATCTAACCACAATTAATATAAACCATTTAAAATATACATTGTAAAGTAATACTTATGTTCGTATTGTCTATACCTTTTTAGACCCCTCTATATCTGCAGATTTTTGAGTATATTACCGCTGAACCAATTTTTTCATATATTTTATGTAAAGATCCACTAGGTTTAGAAGCCAAAGAAACTAACAAAAAATTATACATATTTAATAGAGCCTTTTTAATTTTTCATTAAAAAGTAAATAATATATTTTTGATTATAATTTTACCAAAAATGGCTTATATTGTCAAATGTCACTGCTATTGATATTACGATTGGTAAACAACATTTTTATTTAAATTGATTTTTTAACCTATACAGGGTGTCCCAGAAGTAAGTGCAAATATTCCGGCCACAGAAACAAGCCTATGAGGGTTTTTTTTGCGAAAAAAATTGTTGAAAATTTTATATTTTTCTTGACATTTTCCAGGAAATTTTAAAAAACTTTTTAGTGCCACTTGTTTATTCACCTGAGGCTTCGAATAAGCTGAAAACCCTTTTGAAAACCCATTAATAGTCGGTTATTGCCAGCGGTTCTCAAAATGTTGCCATTATTTTTTTTTAATTTTCAAAGTTAAATAACTCGGTTATTTTCAGTTTATTTTAAAAATGGTAAAGAGAAAAGATGTTTCTTTTGACCAGATCTACCACCCCTTAAATATCTGCACTTATTTCTGGACACCCTGTATATTAGAAAGGTGTGTATATTATTTCTGATATCAAAAATATATCCGTACATGACCTTTTTAAATGAATACAGTATGAAAGAGAATGAAATATAATGTGCTATCAAATATAATTTATGTATACCTAACCTACGGTCTCCTATAATATGAAATATAGTTTATTTCAATAACTGTGACATTTTACAGTGTATGTCATTTTTGGCAATACGTATTAAAAATCAAGAAAAAACTCTATAATTTATTTTTTAATAAATATTCTGTTAAAAATGAAACAAATAAAATGCATGTCATATAAATTATTGTTTCAGTGGTGGTATTTTATCTGGTATTCCTAAAAATGCCCATTTATTAATATCCAACGTATCTAGTTACACTAAATCTTGTGAAATCATCTTACAAGTAGACTTATTTAGAATAGATAATAAGTCTTTTATTATGTCAGAAACACATCTATACTAAAACACGTTTTATTTGTTCTGCAGGTGCCCAGTTTGGTACTGTCATCTCCTTACCCCTCAGCGGACTTTTATCGATCTCACAATGGGGCTGGCAGTCTATTTTCTACGTTTTCGGAGCTGTGGGCACTGTCTGGTGTATCGCCTTCTTGATATGGGTCAAGGAAGATCCAGAATCAAATAAAAAAATGGAGAGGGACGAAAGAGAATACATCCAGAAGTCATTGGGAACAGTTGTTGGTCAAACAGTAAGTAGATGTGATTTTCTTATAACATGAAAAGGTTTATTTTCGGTTTTGAAGAGGCTACTAATAATACGATAGAAATAGGATATAGCTGTTATTTGGAATTATTACTACAATGGAATTTTTGGGGCATGGTTAAAGAGACATTTAAAAGAGGAAAATAGTTATTTCTATTATTATTATATTATATTGTTATAGTATAGTATATTTTCCGGAACCTATTTTATACAATAGATGATACAAACGAGTAGTAATTATCTTCCTCTTATTCCCACAAGCATACAAACCTCTCGGAAAACTGTCTAAAATAGCTAACGAGATTAGTAATGCATGTGTGTTTTTGGTTATCCCATATCTATGGACAGACTTGGTGTTACTATACATTTTTCCAAAAAAGTCTTATGGGTATTTCGCCACTGCAAGAAAATCTACAAAATATAATAGTTATTTTTTGTAAACACTGCTGCGTTAATCCAACGGAGACTAATTGTCAGCAGTGGGGCTTACTAATAACCAAATTTGCCTAACGTACAAAAAAAAAGGTTAACGTTTCAGAAAAAATATAAGAACAAAGAAAAAATTATTTAAAATATCAAAATGCAACTATTCGAGAATACTTTAGTTTTTTAAACAGATACGGCTACAAAAACCGTTGACGTTGTGTTAAAATGACATTATATCAAGTTAAACTTCAAAATGAACAATTATTACTACCTGATAAAAATTACTTAATAAGGTAAAACCAAAAAGCTTCAAACTCTCTCTATGATTATTTTTAATTTGTTTTTAATTTTTACGTATGTTATGTTTATTTATGTTCTGTTCTTTAAAATCAAAGAAGCGATTGCCATGCATTACTAACATCTACAGATGCATGAGCAATACATTTATTTTTATTAGATTGTATTAAAAAATCCTCTTATATTTTTATTTTAGAGGCTATAGCTTCTTTCATTATAATTTTTGCATGGTTAAAATCTATTCTGTGCCCTGTGTCCCATGAATGCTGACAAATCTTAGATTTGTGAAAGTCGCTCTTTCTTAAATAAACTTTATGTTATTTAATTGGAATATTTAAGGGTCTAGATGTTTCACCAATATAGAATTTATCACAATATAATTTAATTACATTTGATAAATTTCTGGCCGGTATGAATACTTGTGGGAACATATGTATCTTTAAAGGAAATAAGATCAAATAATTTTGAATTATATTTGTATAACTGTTGAACTAGATGTATCATTCAGTAGTTTATTCCATTATTTGTTATCTCAGAAAAACACACTTAAAAATTACTTTAATTATATGGTTGAAATTCATATAAAATTTCTTTTGCAGACTACACCACCGACTCCATGGTTGAGCATTATCAAGTCTGGACCCTTCTGGGCCATTTTACTCGCTCACATGGGGTATAACTACGGTTACGAAACCTTGATGACGGAATTGCCTACATATATGAAACAAGTTCTACATTTTAGTATTAAAGACGTAAGTATCACTCCTAAAACAGTTATCAGTAACTAAAAACCGTAAGAACGAAAATCATTTTTAAATCTGCATGGGTTTACCCTGGTTTACCAATATATGAGCCATAGAAAACCAGAGTCAAAAAATGTAGTTTTGAGATATGTGGCTTCAAAGTTAACGGCTTACTGTACAATACTCACATAAGATATTAACACTGTAACTTTGGTATTGTAGCAAAATGGGACCAACTTAAATTTTTGCATAAAAGTAGATGGTATTTTTTGTCTCGTTATTTTGTATTTTTGAAATTTTTGACTTGGACCATTCTGGCTTTCAATTCATTGAGACTATTAGTGCATAATCTAAAATATGTCTTCATTTAAATAAAAAAATATATTTAAAAAAAAATGTATCTTTGTCTTACAAATGTAAGATAATATAACGGTTTAACAAGTTAAGAAATATAACCGATAGTATCAGAATTTTCAAAAACATCCTAGTTAATCTGCCGTATGAATTCTGTGTCATATTTTTCCTGGTTTAGAAATAGAAAAGGTACCTATATTTATTGCTTCTACACCTTTAGGTTCTTAAAAACCCTAGATGTACTGGCTGTATAAATTGAGATAGTTGTTAGATATTTTAATTTTTTTTGCACTAGAGGCGATATTACTAAAATTCATGAACGACAGGTAACTGAATATTTTTAGTCTGCCTCTGCCTTATTTACCAGTTGGATGTATGTTCAACATCTAAATAGAAATTTTATCTAAATTTTGTGTGGGTCAGAAATTTTAAAATTTAACCATTGTATTTCGAGCGAAGACACTTTTCGGGGCAAAACGTTTCGTCCATATTATGAAAAATGAATTTTTGACGAGTAACTGCCTTATCTGATCAAGTTTTGAAGTAAAATTAGTTCTGTTAGTCACTCCATGCCGTAAGAAATATAGGTCCCTACTAACAAAATTCCAGAGTGGTTAACATGGCTTTCTGATGTAACTCGTTACGTCTTTACGGTTACAATTTTGAGTGAGATATATAAAAGTTTTTACAGACTAACATTTTTAAAACCTCGTCAATAGATGGAAAACTACATCAGGAATCGTAATATATACCGGGTGCGTCTCAAAAGTGGCTCACCCCTATAACTTTTTTATTTTTTCCGATAAAAAACGAGATTTGTTTAGTATACACATAAATTAGGATTGATTGACGTATTCAATTGTTTTTAGTCACTTCTTGTTTCACCGGAAATGACTACAACTTTTGATTTTTAAATGGCACCCTCGGTATTTTTATACTAATAAAAAAATAAATACTAATAAGTAAATAATTATATAAAATGACACTCTGAATCGAATGACATATCATATGTCAACTTTTGACATATTCGCTCAAAAACAAATTGAATTTTAAATTTCAATCTAGAGTGCCATGGCTGTGTTAAAAACACTAATTTTTAATCAAGGATTCTTGGAAAAATAGATTTGATCGTCTAATGTTTTTAGTGTCTTGCCCTGGCCGGTTAAAAGATGCCCAAATCATATGTTTAATCATATCTCAATATTTTTAATCATATCTCAATTTTTTCAAATGGAACGAGGGTGGCTCATTAGCATATTTGGAAAAAGCATTTTTTTACGAATAATTTGATACCACACACTTGGTATTTCGAGTCAAATTGTCGTTATGAACCGCAGGTTACAATTTCAAATAAACCATATGCAAAAATGTCAAAAGGTGACATATAATATGTCATTCGATTCAGAGTGTCATTTCCGGAGAAACCGGAAGTGACCGAAAACCATTAAATATGTCAATCAGTTCTAATTTATGTTATATACTAACATACCAAATTTCGTTTTTTATCTGAAAAAATAAAAAAGTTATAGGGATGAGCCACTTTTGAGACGCACCCGGTATATTGAAATTAGAAAATCCAAAAAAATTGATTTCGACCACTCTGGTTTTCAACGGCTCATATACGGATGATATATGAATGTATTCGGATGATATATGAATCACTGAGACCTTACAGATCTGTTGTGTGTTACCCTTGAATATAAATTTTCTTTCTACGCATCTTTCGATAGCGTAGATTTCTGCGTGGATGATGGCGGGGTAGCTGCCTATTGGTCCGGAATATTTAGTTTTCGGCCCAAATACTCGGTATGGTCTTTTACCTGCTGAGCAAATGATTCTCTCTTTTAATTCTTTTTGGATGATCTGTAAATATGGATGTATAAAGCAAACGAATCTTAAACGTTCATTGTAATCGGATTGTTTTTTTCGTGTCTAATGTTAAACGAAACAAATATCACAGTCAAATGTAGAAATAACTTAAAATAGGACGCTTCTGGTTCAATAAGTTCTTTCATTGACAGATAAGAATACTCGTAGGTGTATTACTATAGCTGTCAGAGAAATATTTCGCAATAACGGGTTAAACAATCAGAATACTGCTAGATAGTAGGCAACGAAACAAATATGACAGTCAAATGTACACATAACTTAAAAACAGAACGCATTTGGTTCAATAAGTTCTTCCTTTTGACAGATAAAAATACTGGTAGGTGCATTACCATATGTAGCTGTCAAAGAAATATTTTGGAATAACGGGTTAAAGAATCAGAATATTGCTAGATAGTAAGCGATGACTTTTAGTCTCGAAAATTCAAAATAACTTCAATTTAAAATAGGTCCAATTTTACTGAAAGAGCCAAAATCTGGACTGGCTATAAACGAGTTAAATAAATACATCTAAAATATACGATGTTATTAAAATGTCTTAAAACTTTCAAAATGTATAATTTTGACACTTTTAAACAATTTAAACGACTTGTTTACATATTTTATTTCAATATATTTCTGAATTTTGTTGTTGGCAAACAAATAAGTCGTGTTTCCCTACTTGCATTTCGTGAATAACCCAAACGACATTCACTGATAACCTTTCAAGTCTTTTCTTAGTAAAATCTGTTTTTCTGTGTCTATTTTTCATTTTCGGGTAGTAAACACAAAATTTGTTTATGTTTCTGGCGAAGTAAAACTCAAGTTAGGACTTTATCGGTTTCTGCAGCTTGTAATTTTCTATTATCGCTGTTAGTGTTGTTGTTCTAATTAATAATAATTATATCAGCGGATGTACAGGTGGACTGAATAAATTAGCTGAATTTTAGTAATGATAAATAGTTAATTTTAGTAAAAATCTTTGACAAAGAAGGATAGTTATAAAGTGTATGTAAATAATTATGTTAAATATTATATGTATTATTAAAATAGCAAATACTTACGTATTTCGTTTTTTAGAACTACATATTTTGTCACTGTTTAAATTGTATATTAAATATGAATTGAGTGAGAAAACCTAAGTCTTTAGATAAAAATTTAACACGTCAGTGTAAATAAATATAGTTTGATAGTTTGTCTAACAACAGGTACACTAGAGTGCACCAAAAACTTTTTTTTTCTTTTTAGTTACCGTGAAAATATTGTTCAGGATGATAAAAAAAATCTGGTAAAGTTTAAGCTTTGAAGACGTTCGCGTCGAATTACTCATTTGTAATGGTGATGATAAAGCAAAGCAAGAATTTCCATTAACACAAAAACTGGAGCAGAATCGTGGTAAATCAATTACCCAACTTTTTGGAACACCCTGTACGATTTTTTAAAAAATTTCAAAATATGTAAAAAACCAAAATAAATTATGCGTGTCCAAGCGTTTTCCCGAAAGACTAACCGTTTTTTAAATAACAAATATTGTAATATTTGAGGGGTATTTTCACCCTCTTGGAATTTGAGATTCGAGAAACCCCTCTTTATCGAACCTCTACACCCCACAGTCAATTCATTTGCCAAAAATCAGCTTTAAACGTCAAGCAGTTTAAACAGAACCGTGGTTAAGAAATTACCTAACTTTTTGGAACACCCTGTATGATTTTATAAAAAATTTCAAAATATGTAAAAAAACCAAATAAATTATGCTTGTCCAAGCGTTTTCCCGAAAGACTAACCGTTTTTTTAAATAACAAATATTGTAATATTTGAGGGGCGTTTTCCCCTCTTGGAATTTGAGACTCGAGAAACCCCTCCTTATCGAACCTCTACACCCCACAGTCAATTCGTTTGCCAAAAATCAGCTTTAAACGTCAAGCAGTTTAAGCAGAATTGTGATTACTCAATGGTCATATTTTATGAAACACCCTGTATAAATTTATAAAAAATCTTAAAATAAGTAAAACAACAAAATAAAACATACGTGTTTAAGAGTTTTTCCGAAAAACTCACCGGTTTTTAAATAAAAAATATTTTAATATTTGAGGGATAGTTTCACCCCCTTAGAATTCGAGTTTCGAAAAATCCCTTCTTATCGAACCTCTACACCCTAAAGTCAATCTGTTTTCCAAAAATCAGCTCTTTACGCCAAGCGCTTTAAGCAGGATCGTGATTAATCAATGACCAGATTTTGCGAAACACCCTGTATACATTTTTAAAAAATCTTTATGTAAAAAAACAAAATAAAATATACGTGTTTAAGCATTTTTCCGGAAACTTGACCGTTTTTTAAATAAAAAATATTGTAATATTTGAGGGGTTGTTTCACCCTCTTGGAACTGGAATTTCGAAAAATCCCTTCTTATCGAACCTCTACACCCTAGAATCAACCTGTATGCCAAAATTGAGCTTTTTACGTTGAGTGGTTTCAGCAGGATCGTGATTAATCAGTATGTCAGTCACTTAAGGATTTTATATACGAGTATTAGTATAGATTTCAGAAAACTGCCTAAAGGGCGGTTTACACGCTACGAGAAATCGTAACAATGTGATTGACAAATTTATGGTTCAATTAATCGGAAAAGTGGAGTACTGTTTACACACTACGATAAATAGTAACGATGTTTTGTCATATTTCGTTATCGAGAGCTCTCGATATCGACTCCAAAATAGCTTTTGCAATGGAGGAAGTAGTGTGGTTTGGATTGGTTGCAGGATTTGCCCCGGATTTTTCCGATTTTTGCACTTTCGACACTTCTTTCTTATAAACCGTACGCAACGCATTAATTTTTTTCACAACAGCGTTTCTGTCTGCCGAGGGATCAAACTCCTTGTATTTGTTAATGAGTTCAATATACGCAAGGTCCTTATTATTCCTGTCGGAGTATTCTTTACTTTTAACAAGCCACAAACAGGTAAAACTTCGATAAAGTTCTATAAATTCGCTCAAGAACTCTCGAGGAGTTTGTTTGAATTGTCTGCCATACATATTTTCGATTTATACACAAAAACCTTTCCGATGAAACAACAATGGAAAACATAAACCGAACGAAATCGTAACGAGAAATGCGGTGCAACTTGTTTAGACGTTCAAACATATCGTTACGATTCGCAGAAATTAATGCCGGAGAGCCAACTCCAATTCCAATAAATCGCTACAATGTCCTGTTTATACCTAACGATAAATCGAAACAATTTGATCGTTATGATTAATTGTTAGCATTTCTCGTAACGTGTAAACCGCCCTTAAGGCTTAGCCCGATCCTGTCATGTTAAGCCACATTCAAAATTCCAAACACACGTGCTTTGATTAAGGTTTGCAGAGCCTCAACATTTGCCATAAAATAGAGAGCAATTTGTTACAAAACTATATAAATTATATGAAGACTCCAGGGGAAAAACGATCTAAGTCACATTTTCTTACTTTTGAGATAAATTATTTTGAAACTTTAAAGACCAAAGGAAAAGAAATAATAAAATGTAGCGAATCGTAAGAAGTTTTTATCAATAGTTATATGTATAGACATTAACTGATTAACAGACAAAACAAAGAAAAATAATTTGTAGCAAATTTGTTAGATAAAATAAAACTCGTATTCGCTTGGTTCAATGGAAAAGTGATCCAAGTCCATATGGAATAATTCTGTATGTGGTTACTCCGAGGATTACTCGTGCTGGAATAAAGAGAAAAATATGTTTTTATTCTCATTTTTATTATTAATATTGTTATTATATTTTCTTAATATTTTTTTATTGATTTATTTTTATTATTATTTTTTTATTAATATTATTAGCATTAGATTATTTTTTACTTAGGAATGGCGATTTGTTTCTGATAAAATGAAACTACTCTACTAGACAGTTCCCTTATAGTTCCACTAGAACCATTTCCAGAATTTAATTTCTTTGAATTTAAAACTAGTGACACAATAGACATAATCAGACTTCTTAGGCAGAAATAAAAGCAATATAATTTAATTGATATTAGTCACCATATCTGCATCGTTTAGATCAGCATTGTTTGACGCACAAGGCAAATTTGTGTAGTAGTCTTGCAGAGATTCATCTACGAACTTTTTCAAAAATTGTAACTGCTCATACTTGAGTTTGGGCAAAGGAATTAGGTCAGCATAAAGTTGTTGTTGTGCTGAATATATAGCTATTTTTATTCGTTTTGTATGCGTTGATATGTTTACAAACGTGAAATAGAGACTTGGATCGGTCTTCCGTGAATTCACGTGGACTTAGATGGCTTTTCCAAAGTATTAATATTTTAATCGCTGATTTTAGTGGACTTTGAATATTATTTCAGTCTTGCATTATTCCTATTTTGGAACGGACACTTGATGGGCATAAGATGGCAGTGTTATCTCAATTTCCATTTTTTTGGACTTGGTCCGTTTTTTCCGTGAAGTCTTCATATATCACTGTAATTACAAAACTTCAATCTATTTCCGTATAGTAACGGAATTTTAAATTATGTCTTTATTTTCGAGAAAATTTAGTCCAAACATAAGGAATATTTTGTTGATGTTTGACCATCAAAATCTTAAAAACAAAGAAGTTGTCTAAAAATGTGCTACAATACGGATATAGTATAATCTTTTATCTTTAATTTCCTTTTTCATTTGTGTAAAAATATCTAGCCAGTTTTAAATAAAACGTTAAATGCCGAACGCTTATTTTGCTACTTTTTCGGACTAGTGAAATGGACTTTTAAGGGGAAAATATTTTAGAAAATTGAGATCTGTGTGGAAATTAAATCTTAAAATACATTTAATGTGGAACTAGTGATATAATAATTGCATTAGAAGTGTTGAGTTGACGTCAACATTTCATCAATAAAAAGGTACACATACGTACACAGACAGAGACATATTTATTTCATAAATCACAAAATGCGTAACAAGAAAGTGTCTAGGTTTTAAATAAAATAATTATTCTGATTATTTACGATTAACTGGGGATTTATTATATTTGACAATGCCAAAATTACGTATAATAAGCTATAATAAAAGATTTGAAAAAAAACCCAATGTGAAAATTTCCAAAAATAAAAACGTGTAATATAGTATTATACAGTAAGTAAATACAGATTGTATTTGCCTTTAATAAAAAGAAAAATAGATTGATTTATTAATGAGTGCTCGTACGTAGTAAGTCTAAATTAAGTAAGAAAATGAGGCACAGGCGTAATCTAACGAATCATTTAAAGTTCAAATCAATTTGTTATAAACTAAAAATATCCTGAGACATGACTTGTGATTTATGGGACCTTGTAGACAGTGTCGTCTATTCAATCAGATTTGTTATTTTCCAAAAATAAGAAAGAAGTTGTTATTTAATATTACAGCTTTAATTAATTCTTGTATATAGGGTGTCTCAAATGAGTCACCATTGAGTGAACAATACGCCGTATTGCGCAAATTAATAATGTGCAAATATTTCCAAAGATAAGTATTAAAAAAAACGAAATACATCAGGATTCCAGAACCCTATTTATCGACCAAAAACACCTACAATGAAACTTACAGCCAAAAAAAAACAGTTTATATTATGGGTGCATCTCAAAATGACCCACTCATTTCAAATAAAAAAAAACGAGATTTGGTATGTTAGTTAGGGTTGCCAACCGTCCTCTATTCCAGAGGACCTCTTTTTAATCGTACTCTCCTCTAGAAAACTCATAGAAAACGTCCTCTTTTTTACACACCAAACTCAATATCATAAAATGGGCTCTTTCACAAAAAATAAAATACCCAATTCAAGGGCAAAATCTGAAATAGAAGACTATTTTCAGTATATTTATCCGAAAAAAAATAGTTCCATGACATTGAATAATTTTTTTATAGGCCCTCAAAATTGCTTTAATTTGAAATAATTTTAAAGCGCCAATTGATGACGTATGAAAAATACGCCAAATTACATTGCAGAACCGTGCTCCTGCGCCAGCCAACAAATGGCAACATTGCGATTTGATTTGACCAGCGCCACCTCAACTGAAGGCCAATTAATATGATATGGGCAAGGCAAATATGGCGGCGAAGGCAGCGTATTATTAAATTGTTTACCTTTTTTTTTTCTGCAACACGTTTGTTTAGTTCTTAGTGTATGGTGTGATCAGAAAATTGGAATAAAATAACCTCTGTTCCAAATTGTCACGAGAATTATAGAGGGGGTCCCAAGGTTTCTGCTTTTATATTCCCCAAAAATGATGAGCTTCGTAAAAAATGGTTGACAGCTGTTAAAAGAGATAATTTCACTCCTACTAGCAGTTCTCGGGTATGAAGTGGCATTAAATATGCCTCGAAAAGGCCAAAGGCCAAAGCCTCTGTTACCCTAATGAGGATGTAGTTATGGCTACTGCTTACACTTACCTTACTATAAGTAAAATATTGGAAGAATAATCAAGCTTTTTACATCAAAAAGATCACAGAAAGATATTGACAAGATTTACATTTGAAAATATAAATGGCCTGGATGTAAGTCTTTTTTTAGGTCACAATTGCCCTTCACATACGTCAGAATTTATTATTAAATCCATCTTGTTCAGATTATCCTATATTTTATTGAAGAACTATGAAAAGGTTGAATGGCTTTGTGTGGAGGTGGTGGTGGGTCAGCAGGGTGGCCCGGCCGTGTTGCCGCTTTTCAATATGCCAGGTGTGACGTATTAAAAATAAAGTGCGGATTTTTATTCTGGGCTTTTTTGTTTTTATTTGTTTTCTTAAGAACGACTTCAAATTTTTTGAAAGTAAGATAGCAGAAGATTCTAGAATTAATTGCTTTATTCAATTATGCTAATTCCAAAATATAGTGAAAGAGCCCATTGTTAGTCCGGCAACAATGGGCGCATTCAGTAAACGCACCGGTTAGGCCACCGGTGCAGAAAATTAAATTGAATGCCAATGGTAACTCACCGGTTGATTCACTGATCACTTGAGAGCCTACCATATTTTGTTTCACGTTCATTTACGTACCGGTAACTTGATCGTTCAATGAAAAGTTATCGGTAGGTCTTTACCGGTTAATACCGGTGTGTTTACTGAATACGCCTAATGGTCTTTCTTGTTAGTTTTTTTATGTTTAATTATTTTTTATTATTTTACTTTTTAAGGTACTCGGTGGCGTAGAGGTACAGGCTCTCGTCTACCAATTTCAAGGTGGTGGGTTCGAATCCTACACCCGGCATTTCATCAGCCGACTATTTTTATTAAAATAAAAATAGTTTGGGTACCTAGATCGACTCAGCCTTAAATGAGTACTTGGGATTCACAATCCTGGGGTAATAATAGGCGGTTGAAGCGTAGTGCTAGCCACATTACCTTCCTTGTATACCGAACGGTTCTAGTATGGCAAGCTGTACTTTGCTACTGCCAAGGCGTCAAACGCTATATACGGGAGCTATTATTATTATATTATTTTTTGGGAGAAAAATTTGTAGGAAGTCGTTTGTTCTATTTTAACAAGTTTTAAGTATAAATATTTATAAGAAATAAGAAAAAACAAAAATCACATTTAAATTTCTTTTGGGTAAATTCTTGACATCAATTTTCAAAAAATGTTTTGCCTGTGACTTTTTTACCCTCTCGTCCTCTATTTTTTAGTTTAAAAGTTGGCAACCCTAATGCTAGTATATGTGACATAAATTTATTTGGATTGATTTACCTATTCGATAGTTTTTGGTCACTTCTTGTTTCACCGAAAATTACTACAACTTTTGATTTTTTACTTTTAAACTTTTATTCGGTAGAAAATGACACATTATATGTCAACTTTTAACATTTTCGCCTAAAAAATCATATTTTCAATATAGAACGTCATCATCATCATCGTCAATTAGCCACTAAAGTCCACTGATGGACGTAGGCCTCTCTCGTTTACTTCAATAACTCTCTATCTTGAGCTATTTGCATCCAGTTACTGTGGATTCGCCTTAAATCGTCATGCCATCTGATTGGAGGACGGCCTCTGCTCTGGCCTCTGCTTCTGAATGCATCATGCCTTAAGCTTGATTTTCATGCATCCGTTGTCCGACGATACGATGATACGATATTAATTTTATTGGTTGAATTTAAAGACTTCGGTTGGTTAGAAACGGTTATCCAATCGAAGCCTTTAAATACAACCAATGAAATTAATATCGTATCAACGTATCGTCGGACAACGGATGCATGAGAATCAAACTTTAAGCTTGATTTTCATGCATCCGTTATACGTTGGTACGTTGCGTTGGTCCGACGGTGCTCTGATTGGTCATAGCGTTTTCGCGCCACTTTTCATCCGTAAATATTTTACTTCAGCCCGTCAACGGACCCGTTCATACGATAACGGACGTTTTGACACTTTTTTGACAAATTTAATCTAACAATAATAAAAATATAAGTAAAATAGCAAAATCGTTATGGAAACGAAAATATAAAATAACACCAACGTATATCCGATGAGGCATGAAAATGCAATAAATTTAAAAACTGCGTTTTTTTCTAACCAATCAAAGTCTTTAAATTCTACCAATAAAATTAATATCGTATCAACGTATCGTCGGACAACGGATGCATGAAAATCAAGCTTTAGTCTCTAGAGTGACATACATAGATGTAGTTGAAACACTAATTTTTAATCAAGGAGCCTTGGAAAAATATATTTGATCATCTAACGGTTTTTGTGTCTTGTCCTGACCGGTTAAAGAATTTCCAAATCGTTTTTTTAATAATATCTCATTTTTTTAAATGGAACAAGAGTGGCTTATTGGTATATTTGGGAACAGCATTTTTTACGAATAATTTGGTACCACAAACTTGGTATTTCAAGTCAAGTTGTCGGCATGAGCCGCACATTACAATTTCAAATAAACCATATGCGAAAATGTCAAAAGTTGACATACGATATGTCATACCATTCAGAGTGTCATTTTCTATCGAATAAAGTAAAAATACCAAGGGTGTCATTTAAAAACCAAAAGTCGCAGTTATTTTTGAAACAAGAAGTGACCGAAAACAAATGCATCAAATAAATAAAGATAATAAAAACAATATATCAAATAAATAAACACAATGGAAGTCGGAAATTCTTTTAGTTTTAATGTTATTCAGTTGTCTCGCATGTGTGTTCCAAGTTTGGTTGTAGATACCCGTATAATAAAAGTACATAGTTACATTTTTTAAATTTGTACCTGATCTAAATTTCCTACTTTTTTGGGTAATAATTAATCGTTAATATATTAAAATGGCAGTTACAGTAATTTTAAAATAACCAGTATTGTAATTTTTCAATGTTGTGACTTTTTATAATCACATTTATGTATTTTGATTGATAAATAACATTACATTACTTACCACCACAACACTGTTATAAACTTTAGCAACAGACATAAGTAAACTGGAATAAAAGATGGTATATCTATGCCTAATATGATATCGTTTTCATTTCTTTACATCGTATAGCACGCTGTACAATTTAATGTGGCGTTTATATATTATATTTTTAAAATTTAATTTTATTACTAAAAATAAGTTAAGTAATGAAATATTAATTTGATTACTTAACCACTTAAAAATTTCCGCATATTTAAAAGAATGGGATGAAGAATAAATTAGTCAAACCTCAGTTAACGTGTGGGATATATTTTAAGTTTGGTTCACACTACAGCGTTAAGTGTCGCGAACTATAATAGATAGGCGTCTATTTAGTTTGAGCCTATTGTATCGTTTTCATGCTATGACGAAATCTATGTGTTAAATTGGATTATTGAGAAGTAGTAGTTGGTTTATTATTAAGATAAATATAAATAAAGCAGTGGCGTTTCAGATTTTTTAAAAAAGCTTATAAAAATGTATTAATTACATATAATTAATTTCTGTCGTACGTTGTACAAATACCATTTTTGATATAAAAGTGAAAATAGTCCCAAAATGCTGAAATTTAAATGTATAATTATACATAAAATATTTTTTTTTAGAAACTCAAGTAGTAATAAAATCGCGAAACGTCTTTAAAATGATATTGGTTTCCTTTTCAAATATACAGGGTGAGTTTTCTATGATGTTCTCTGTGGGTATCTCGGAAACTACTGGAGATAGAGAGTCGGTTAAATGGGGAAAGAATTGCAGTTTTGTGGGGTTATAAATATGTGCCTTTCAGATTAAAGATAAAAGTTCATGGCTTACTAGATATTTCGAAAAAAATTTCGGCTATTTTCAAAATGGTCCCTAATTTCATTATAATCTATTTTAGACAAAAAGTTTTCAGATAAAATTATAGATATTCACATCCTTAATATGAGTGTGTTCTCCAAAATTTTCTAAAGCCTGTCATGTTTGACATATGACACAAACTTATGTTTTTTTTTTAAATGGAGACCATAGTTGGCCATGACTTCATAAAAAGCGCCATTTTTTAAGCTTTTCATCGATATAAGTCAGTTATAATATGTTTTTTTTTTCGTTATAGCCAATTCTTATTATTCTTTCTTGACTAATTTCATTTAGTTGGCATGATATTCTTATTCTGTTATTTATTTAATTATTATAATTTATAACTTATAAAAAGACAGAATATTTTATTAAACGGTTCTTTACAATTTACATTACACAAACTAAAACTTATAATATCACTACATACACTTTAAGTTATTTTAGAAAATATTCAAAAAATATACCGCATAAAATCTAAAATGGATAGGTCAGTTGATCGAGGAGGCCCATGCAATTAGTCCACCTCTTCCTATCCGTGAGTTTGAATAATTATGACATAAATAATTTTTAACATTTCTTTCATTATGGGGAGAGGCGGGGGGCGTAATGTCATAATGAAAGTCATGTTGGAACTACTCTATTGATGTGCGAGTCTCTAAATCTAACTTTTCTAACATGTCTTGAAAACCGTTTTCTAAAAAGCGTATGTAACGTATCCTCGAAAATGTATGACCAAGAAAAGTTGAACCATTAATCCTACAAGCTTTACTTCATTTGAAAAATTCATACGTATTTACAATTTTTGGTTATTTTAATTTACAAAGTTTGGATGTGACTGTTTGACATTTCTGAGAGCAAAGACAATTGAACTTGTTTCCATGGGTAACTAAGTGAAATTGTTTAAAAATGATAAGAATTGGCTATAACTCAGTAATTTTTGAAAAAAAAACATATTATACCTTATATCACTGAAAAACTTAAAAATGGCGCTTTTTATGAAGTCATGGACAACTATGGTTTCCATTTAAAAAAAAAAACATAAGTCTTTGTTATATGTCAAAAATGACAGGCTTTAGAAAAAAGCGGAGAACACAATCTCATTTTGGATGTGATTATCTACAACTTTTATCTGATTTTTTTTGTCTAAAATGTATTATAATGGAATTGGATTTTTTTCGAAATTTCTACAAAGTCATGAACTTTTTCAAAAATTCGAAAGGCGCATACTTATGCCCCCACAAAACTGCAATTCTTTCCCCATTTAACCGACTCTCTATCTCCAATAGTTTCCGAGATACCCACAGAGAACATCGTGGAAAACTTAACCCTGTATAAGCCTTCCCAAATACCCTCTCGATTTTTTTCTATATATTAATTACTGGAAACAAACAATAATATTAATAAAGGAAAATTAAAACAACTTTCGTTGCACGTCATCAATAACGCCATGCGTCGTCTTATGGAGTTTGCTGGTGGTCGTATTATGATGTGCAAGCAAAGTTATTTTAATTTCCCTTAAATAAATTGATTCGCTTTGACAAAAATTGTACAATCTCAGATAAAAATCAATACAATCTATTTTTTATTGCAGAATGGTTTCCTATCAGCTTTGCCCTACCTCGCCATGTGGATCTTCTCCATCGTAATAAGCCAAGTGGCTGACTGGATGATGACCAAAACCTACTTCACAACCACAGCGGTGAGGAAGTTGCTGAACGGTATCGGTCAGCTAGGTCCAGCAGTATGTCTGTTCGCTGCTGCCTTCACTGGCTGTGACAAATGGCTGACTGTGGCTTTGCTGACTGTGGGTGTAGGCCTGAATGGCGGTACCAATTCCGGATTCAGGGTGAATCATCTGGATATTTCACCGCAGTTTGCTGGCATACTTATGTCCTTCACTAATTGTATGGCTAATGTTGTGGGGTTGTTAGCACCGATATATGCTGGATTTATGATCAAAGGAGCGGTAAGCATTTCTATATCTGTTTCTAGACATTTTGTTGTTTTTTTTTGTTGTTGGAAGAGAAATTTGATTTTTTTTTGTAAAATTCCACTGAATTATAATCCAAACGAAAACTAGTAATACTGGGTGTTTCCCTAATCTGGCTCACCCCGACAAGTTTTGATTTTCTAAATGGTAATCTCGGTATTTTTTAGGGTTCCGTACCCAAAGGGTAAAAACGGGAACCCTATTACTAAGACTTCGCTGTCCGTCCGTCCGTCCGTCTGTCACAAATTTCTATCTTATGAACCGTTATAGCTAGACAGTTGAAATTTTTACAGATAATGTATCTATGTTGCCGCTATAAGAACAAGTGCTAAAAACAGAATTAAATAAATGTTTATAAATAAAAAAGTACATTATCTTTTAAGTAAGAATTTTACATAGAATCTTTCAAATCATCGCGTTAGCACTTTACGCTGCTATGGCGTTGGAGTCGTAGTAAGGCAGGTTCGAATCCTGGTCAAGGCGACTTTTTTTTAATGGTTTTTTTTAATTTTTACATATTTATTTTTACTTTTTACATATTTATTATTGACTAATACAATTTTTAGTAATATGTTTTTTCTTTTTTTTTAAATTACTTATACGCGCATTCAAAATTTCAGCTAAATCGGAAAAAGTTTATAATAATATAGTATCTAATGTTGTATAGATAATGAATGGTACAGAACACTTCGTGCGCGAGTCCGACTCGCACTTGACCAATTTTTAGCTTTAAAATATGTCGCATTTATAGTAAATTTTACCCTCAAAATTTCATTCGAAACGCTAAAAGTACTTGGAAGAAATTTATAATAAATCGAAAAAATATTACGACTTTAACACCCTGTAGCTACGAAACAAAGCAGAATCGGACCTATGCTGATATGAAAAATAAGTCTTATTTTTATGTGAGGAATCTCTCCATGAATGATGGCACATGTTTTTTGACACACCCTGTATAATCCCAACGAAATCTAGTAATACCGGGTGGTTCCCTAAACTGGCTCACCCCTATAAGTTTTTTTTTAGATAAAACAACGTTAAAAACACACACACATATTTAAATGTTATTTAAATTTATGATATTCTTTCTTTTTCAGCCCAGCATAGCAAAATGGAGGATCGTTTTCATTACAGCATCAGGAGTCTATGCTTTCTGTTGCACATTCTATTTATTGTTCGCCTCTGGCGAGCGGCAGTCTTGGGACAAACCTCAAGACGAAGAAGAAAAAGACAAGGAACAGAAAGAACCAATGGTGTAATTATAGTGTTACAAGAAATAGACAATTCTTAGCGTAGAGACCTTTTCGAGGTGTAATATATTTTATTTTAGGATAATAATGTAGATAAAATATATTAATTTTTACCGAATTTTGAGTGCGAAAGTAGTAGATAAACGGAGTATAATAGTATAACAGTAATTTGCAGATTAACAAGAAAATGAGATTGAATGTGTGCTCAGCTGCATTGAGATGAATAATTAGATTATATTTTCAAGTGGGGATGTCCGAAAATATCGATGTAACAAAATATCAGTATTAAAGAAAAATCGATATAATGTCTGTCCAGCGAAAGGAGACATGACAGTGACATAGATAAATGAAACAAGTTTAGATTGGAAAGTGCGCTAAGGACAATGTAAATTCTATTTGGCCCTATTCTTACAACGGTCGCGATCCAAAGCTTTTGATGATTTCGGAGCGGTTCGGATTTTTCCGGAATTATATGCCGCCAAATATTATTTATTCAAATTTATTATTATTTTATTTTAATTTTATAAATAAAATACAGTGTGTTGCATATCGAAAACTTTATTTTATATAAGAACATGTACGAAATAACTATGGAACATTGGAAACCGACGTTATGCAACGATGGTTTTTGCAGTTGGCACTTCACAGAGCTTTTTAAGTATTTTTAATGCCACTTTTTCACAATTACATGGGTTTTCCTAAATCAAATTTAAATTAAACTCACAAGATAGCAATAATTACTTTGAAAATGGACGCTTTAAACACTTTTCTGTATTTTTTCAATAAGGGCGATTTAAATTTTAAAAGATTTTATAATTTTTGAAGATTCTGACTTTGACAAATGAAAAAATGCTTTCTGTTTTTGTTTGCGGTTGTTCTTACTAACCGCTATAGCAGCGCCATCCAAAACAATTATATATTTTGGCGGGAAGCCGAGCATTCCAATCTAATTTTATTTCCTTTATCTATGGACAGTGATAATTGTTTTGTCATTTCCATTCACAGGTAAATTCTATTTTCTGTCATTTTTGGAATTTCGTCTGTCTCTGATTTATTGGCCAGAATAGGACTTAAGTTTAAATAATCAGTTCAAAGATTGTTTTAAATTTGTTAATCGATTTAAGTTAATTTTACTTAATAACCTTAATAATGTATGAAACTTTTAACCGTTTCGTCTCTAAGTAGAAATTTTCAAAAAAAGTGTTATAACCCAATGGTTAACTCAATAGTTTAGTAGAACTTAAAGTAAGTTTAAAGTCATGTGTTAAGTTTTAGCATATAACTGTATTTGTAACCCGTGAATGTATTTCTCATATTAGTAATTAGGAATAAAAAAAGACTAAGATAAAATAAATTTAAATTTAAATCTACTTTCCTTGTTACCAACATTTTTAAGCCCTAACTTAGGAATTTAAGCTAAATTGTTAAGATCAACATGTTACACACAATTTCGTTATACATGTATTTTACATAATTGCTATTTTTAAGTAAATAAAAAAAACATAAGATATTTATATATCGATATCCTTCTTATAATGGACATCCCTATTTACTGGGTGCTATTTGCAAACGGAGTTCCTTTTGGTGGTTACCGTTAAACACGTGTTATTGAACTGCAGTAATTTACTGTCCATTGTTTTCTTGTTGATTCGTTTATATATATTTTTGAAAATAAATATTTTTATAAATTTTTCAAGAACGTTTTTTATTCCATTTTTAACTCACGTATTATTCCCAATATATAGAGTAATCTGTAAATAAGTCGAGCTCAGCCGTACCATCCTTTTCTCGAAGATATTAGCGGCACTTTTGACGACCCTGTAAGTTTGATGTGGATAAAGCAAGAATACTAATTTTCACTAAACACGAGGACATACCATAGCTGGCTAGATTACCAAAATATCTAAATTATACCTCGTAGTTTATGAATTATCGCTTGTCAAATTTCTTTAATTTCAACATTGACTCACTGACAGGTCATCAAAATTCTAAAGTACTTCTAGAAGCGTTACAAACCTCAAATTTTGAATTTTCGGTATCATTAAGCTTATAATGGGAAAACAAATGAAAAATCTCGAAATATGCTTATGGATTAAAGGTTAGCTGTCTAGCCGCTACCGGTAACAACTTTTTAGTCGAGAAAAAGGTAGAAAACTAGAATTAATCGATATGATATTGTTTGATTTTATTTGGATATAAAGATAATGATTTATTGCTAGTCAAACTTCTATAATTTCGACAGTGGCTCACTTACCGTCATCAAAATTCTAAGGTACTTCTAAAAGTGTTACAAACTTCCAATTTTGAATTTTAGGTCGTATTAAGCTTATAACGGAAGGACAAATTGAAAAATCTCGAAATATCTTATATATAGACTTTATTATTTAATTTTAAAATGTCATATTATCTAGATCTAAAATTTAAGAGTTGTGCTAACATGTTCTTCTATATGCTTTTTTTAATTAAAAAACATTCTCATGTCTCAGTCTTGGTTTAAGTGACGCCATGTATAATGAGGGCCGCCTTATCCATTAGGCAAGATAGGCCGCTGCCTAGGGCGGCAGGATAATGGGGGTGGCAATTTTTTTAAAAATCAAAACAACTCGGAATAATATCTTCATAAATAAATCATACTAACCTAAAATAATCCTTCCAGAATCGCAAACGGGTTTTCGCACTAATAATTCCATATTTTCCATCCGCCAACTACAGGAAAAAGTAAAAGGTAAAAGTAAAAAGCAAAAAGTAAAAGGTAAAAGAAAAAGAACAGCAGTCTAAACTTTATGTTGCATTCATCGACCTCACAAAATCCTTCGACTCTGTGAGCAGAGATGCACTTTGGGCAATTATCACAAAGTTCGGAGTACCCAGCAAACTTCTTAGATTGTGTAAAAGCCTCCATTACAACAACAAGTCAAGAGTGTCACATCATGGATCACTGAGCGATCCCGTCCTAACAAATACAGGAGTTAGGTAGGGATGTGTCTTAGCGCCTCTCCTATTCAACATATTCATGGCAGCGCTCTCCATTATAGTGGACAGCAAACTGCAGGAGAGAGGATTGGGCATTAGATACAGATACGACGGCGCACAATGGATCGAAGCATAGGAAGATAAGGACATTGGCTGTTTTTGAAGAGTTCCAAATTTAAATATTTTTTTACATATTTGTGTTAAAGAGATATTCTAGTCTTGTAAAACACATACAGTATGTCTGTTTGTTATTTACTTATTGAGTATATGAGCACCATTTGAAGTAAATTGAAAAATCATTCAAATTGGTAGATAAAGAGTCTTACATTTGATTGTAATTTTAAAATGGATGTAAAAGATATTCGTTTGTTATATATAACGACTTATTAGAAGCGTTCTTGGGCTATAGTATTGGATTGTTAAATTTAAAAAAAAGTCATACCAGAAGTGAAAAACTCATTTGTTTTTATTTATGTCATTAAGACTTAAAAATATAAAGTTTTCTTGAATTACAAAAAAATGTAAGCGGATGTAAGTGGAGATATTACGTGCAATGTAAAGAGCCACCTTTACTAGCACATATTATAAAAAAATTGGCTGCCCCAAAGTGCCACTGCAAAAAGTATAATGTTTTTAATGTCAAAATCCTTGAATTTATGCAATGCACGCACAGTGCACCATCAAACAATTTGTAATTTGCCGATACAGGTAAGTATATTCGTCGAAGAACATTGGAGTGGGACTGAATTACACTACAATACATAAGGCATATAGGTTGAAAGGCCCAGAAATGCTTTCGTTTTGGTATTCGGTATTCGGCAATTGAATTGGTATTCGGCAGTTTGTCGAGTTTGCCGTGGACGCGCATCACGCGTTGCTTTGCAGAATATATTTGCAATTTTATTTTAGATTTAGGGAGGAAATGGGTTTGATAGTTGATGTCGTTAAACAAGGATGGGGCACAACTATCGATGGAAACACTGCGAGAAGATTTTTCTGAAACTTCGAAAAGTCATAACAAATTACAGGAATCGATGAATTGATTGCCGGAAAGACTATATACATTACTCCAAGTTTTGGTTTCAGGAAAAAAAATAAATGCCGAAAAGTTTAATAAATTTGCAAAAGAGACTGCAGAAGAGTTAACCTTTATGGATGGTATTACATGCCATCTTCTACACAAAATTTTGATACACGGAGCAAAAATCATCAGCAATTTTTGGTTTGGTTTGGTTTGGTTTCTGTCTGAAGAGGCCTCAGAGTCTAGGAATAAATACTTTCGGAAATATAGAGAATGCCGTTCAAGAAGGTCTAACAGAACTTTTGCAAATTACATAATCTTTTGTTGTCTTCCGATCCATATATAACTGATATGCGTAGCTGTGATAAAATTCGTAGCGATTTAACAGAGAAAGCAATATCTCTTTTGCTATAATATTTTTGTTTTCTTTTTTATTTAGAGATTAGTTCTTTTGTGAGTCACCCTGTATATTTTGTTAACTATTTGGTACAAAAGGCCATATTAATTTAGATTTAACAGAGAAAGTAATTTCTCATACATATGTTATAATGCTTTGTTTTCTTTTTTGTTTATATATGAGCTCTTTTTGTAAGACATCCTGTATATTTTTTAAAATATCTGGTATAAAAGGCCATATTAATTTAGATTTAACAGAGAAAGCAATTTCTTTTTTGTTATAATATTTTTGTTTTCTTTTTTGTTTAGATATTAGTTCTTTTTTTGAGACACCCTGTATATTTTGCAAACTATATGGTACAAAATGCCATATTAATTTAGACTTTTGTTGTATTTATTGAAGTCGTACATAAAAAACAGTAAAATGAAAGTATTAATTTCCAAATAAGTCAATGTCCCTATTTTCCTATGCTTCGATCCATTGTGCGGCGGTCTGTTCAACATAAAAAGACTCAGGGCTAAAACACGTACAAAATTCATCACAGAACTTCAATACGCTGATGGCTGCGCTCTAATTGCAAAAACGGTACACCAATTACAAGAAATGTTGAATATATATACCTGGGCATACGAGGCTTTGGGCCTTAAGCTAAACATCGACAAAACTAAAATCATGTGTACTCCCCCGGAAGATGATAACAATGCTATAAAAATCGGAGAAGAACTACTGGAATATGTTGCGGAATTCAATTACCTCGGCAGTTTGATTTCGGGAAAGGCCTGATTCGTTTATATATATAAAGGTTATTTTTATTTAATTTACCTATAATATATATTTAGATTTATAACAGGTTATTTTTATTTAATTTACCTATATACAATAATATTAAAAAGTAAAGTCCATAAACTAATGTCGATTTTAAAACAGCTACTAAGTGTCACTAGAAAATTGCCATGGCGACACCAGCCATCTTGATTACAATTTTATTGAAAAATCGCTTTTTATTCAAAATCTAAGCCAGATAGGTATAGGAAACCCTAATATAGTTTGAAAGAGCATTTAAATCTGCTTCGACCTATTTAAAAAAATACATAGTGTTGCATTTGAAATAACGAAGTTTTTATGTAAAATAAATAGTTAAAATAGACCAGCAATTTTTGATACCCCTGTATACATTTAAGGAAACAATCAATTTTTTTAGCAAAGTTTGTTTACATGCATATTTAAATATCTTTAAATATCTCAAAAACCAAAGCTTTTAGACATATTAAACCCTTATAATAAGTACCTTATTTTATATCCAAGAATCCAAAAATTAAATAAAATACCGGGTGTTCGCAACCATAAGAAAAAGTATAACTTTGGTATGGATCTTAGTTCTGACACACCCTGTACATTTCAAAATAATTTTAAATTATGCACATTGCCTTCCCACATATACCCATAAAATAGTTTGTTTCTACATCTTTCCGTTTTTGTATAATCAACCGAGGCGAATGAGGTGCGCCATATTCTTCTACTATTTCCAGCGTTGTGCTATTTATTAGAACGTCTTTTCTTTCCAGTAGTTCATTGTACATACATCACTTTAGTTTTTGCTAAATCCATTTTGAAACACACTTTATTGCTGGCTGTATTTAATTCATTAATTTGTGCTTGTAGTTCTTCAGGACTATTGGCAATTAGAACTATGTCATCAGCGAATCTTAGATGTTTAAGATCAGATATTCTCATCGAGAGTTTCTATATAAGGCCTGTCAATACCTTGTTTTGTATAAGGTTCAAATTATATAGATAAACAGATATCCGAAAAGAAACATCAAACCCAAAAATTGTTATATGAAATACCTTGCTTGTTTTATAAGTTATCACATCTTCATTTTTTTGCGCTTTTATATTAACACCCTATATAACTTTGTAAAACAAGTAAGACACTACAAATGCTCCAAAAAGTTCATTCTTTATACAACTTGCTTGTCTTATGAGAGATGCGTTACTGTATGAACAATCCAATGCTTAATGATTTTTTTTTTGTTTTTAGGTTTACCTAGGCAAACCTTGCCCCTATTAGAACTACCCACACGAGAAATCATTATGAAAGTGCCACAAC